TGTTTTTTCTTCTCGAACTGGTTTCATCGTCAGCTTAAGGGACGCTTCGTTAAAATCCAGCGTTGCTTGTGCCTCTGAAAGAAAATCTATTCCTAAGATAATATGTGTGCTTGCAGATTCTTTACTATAAAAAACATAACCTTTACTTGTTCGTCCTTGATACGGACGTATAGCGGTAATTTACCTATGCACTTACATCTTTCTCCTTGCGCAGCTAACACTGTCGTATTATCCGAATTATATATGCGGTATTTACGAAAATACTTCCTAAAAAAATCTTCTGCCACACAGGAACACTGCGCGCCTGTATCCAGGAGTGCGGTGGCTGGGATATTTTATTCACCAACACTTCAATCTTCGGAAGAGTCAAATTTTTCACCATTACTGTATTTAACTTGAAGGAAGAGGGGTTTTCTGGGCCTTCGGATTTCCGCACCCTCCCGTCAGCAGAAATCCGTTTTAGTTTAAATTTGTTTTTTCCTTTCCATGCTTTCCTTCTTTTTCCACTGGCCTTGAGACTTTTTTCCTGGATTGCTATTGAACTGTCGACGTTCGCCGGCTGTTTTTGGAATGCTCGGGTTTCCTTGCCCACTGATTCGCTTTGCTTCCGTAGCCGTGTGCTTGAGTTTGCTGTGGTCTTGGCGCACCAAATTGGTTTCGTGTTGATATTGGCGTCTTCTTTCAATGTCCGCCGTTCTTCTACTTTCAAACTGGATTGCTAGCTCAAATAACTTTTCCAGTGTCGTCCAGTCGTAGTCGGATTCCTTAATTCAATAAAGTCTTGCACTTGGGGAAGTAACCTCGGCAAAATCACTTGAATTATCTCAGGATCCGGACGGTTTCCATACAAGAGTTTGAAGACGTGAATTTTTCTTAAAATAAAGCTTGAGAGATTTTTCGATTCGTTTCTGGTATATGCTGAAAAGTTCCGCTTTCTAATTTCGCACGATCCCTTACGACAGGGAAGGCTTTTACTAAGGGCAGTCTTGAAATTTTCGTAAGTATAGGTGGGACTTCCCGCTTGACCCAAGAGACTTCTGCCTATACATTTGAACCAATTAAGCGCTTGGCCCCTCAAAGCGCTGGTAGCTAAGGTGAACTTTCTGGAAACTCGTGCACGGGATATAGAGCATGAAGTGGTCATCCAATTTTTCCAAAAAAACTGGTTACCGGTGAGTTTCCATTAAATGTTGCTTCTGGTTTCATCGAACTGCGCGCATGGTCTGGACGATGTAACCAAATCCTTCCAGGGCGGCAGCTGGCATTTCTGGATTCTGAGCCGCTTCTGCAGGCAGCACAGGTTCTTCTTGAAACTCGGCCATGGTTATTCTTCTTCGTCGGGCGCCACTATCAGGTTCAGTGTTTCTCCTTACTTGCTTTGGGAACATTCAAGAACCTGACTCGGAACAGGGAGCTTACTAAAGCTATGTTCAATAAATGTGGGAAGTAGACAAGATACACAGGAAGGGTATACGAAACCCTTTATTTTTCACTCTTTACAATGATTTCCGGACTTCGGAATACAGAGACCAACCACTTGTGGTCTGAACGTAAGAATATAAAAATATTAACTAAACTCTAACTTAACTTTGGAGTAATAAAACAAGGGCCTCCGAGGAGATTGGCCGTATATTAACAGGGAGCCGTATGTAGTACAGAGAACTGTTAACACTACAATACGTTTAAAATTATCAAGAGGATTAAACCTCTGGCCTGGAAGGCAACCAGCAACCGAGTAAAAACTGCTAAGGCAAGCGGCCTGCTTCTACTAACTCCTTCCTCTCTCTCGCTTGGCAAAAAGCCACAACTTAAGTACTTGGCGTTCGCCAGACCAATTTACATAAATAAGTTAAAGCTTTTAATTTTGGCCGGAAGTAGAAAATAAGAAGTGATAGTAAAGATTTAAAATAAAATAAACGTTAGTAAAACTTAAGATCCTTACAGACATTACTGTCAACAACGAAGAATACCAAGTATTATGAATTTTTGAGGTCTTATTTTACTTCCTTCTTTGTCTTGTCACCGTATTTAGAAAACATTTAAAGTTACGAATTGACTCAACACATGCGACAAATGCCGCTTTAGTTTACTAAACCTGCCTGTCATAGAGTCGCAAGCAATGACTCGTCTTCGAATCGTTTAGTGAGCTTTGATTAAATTTTCGAAAACATCAAATTGTACATTAAGCTTTCTATTATTGAACTGGTATTCTAAACTGTGCATACTGTAGCATTACTTGTACCAATTTTTCACACTATTGTACTATTTTTTTGTGGTCAGTAAAACATTCTGTTGATTTTCTTTGTTATTGTAGTGTGTTTTTTTAACTGAATCATTAGTTCCTGAATGATCAATAAATTAAAAAGAAATGCAGAATTAAACTGTACTAGTTTATGAGGCACTTAAAATTTAGTACAGTAGCTTAGTAATTAGTAGAGCTTGTTAATACAGGACATAAAAAGTTGTTTTGTTGTTTCACTTTCGAATACGCTTCATTGTTTGAGATACTTCTACATACTTAAGTTTGAGTAAATATTTTCATTAAGAAGGATTTTATGTCATCTAAAATGTAGAATGTGTATCAATAATAAATAATGTGAATTATCGCCAAAACTGTAATAAGCGCTCTATCATATAGGGACCTTTAGTAGACATACTAATGGTAGTATGTATTTAAACAACTTCCTTCTAAAAACTGATGTAGTATTTTTGTATCAAATAATTCTCTGCAATCGGAAAATGTATTGATTCATTCAGCCGTTCAATGGTTATAGTGGTTAGCGTCACTAACTTGTCTTGCTGAAGAGTCAGCATTCGAATCCCGCAAAAAGCATGGATGTTTGTAAATGTATAGTGTCTGTGCGGTATGGAGGCACTCTAAATATGCGGAGAGTCAAAAGTCCTCTCGAGAGGTTGGTAGCAGGGGAAGATGGGTGGGAGATCCTCGGACACGTCCCATCGGTGTGCTCTCCATAAAAATTGGGGTCGGAAGTAAGGTAAATCGCACTGTCATCTGTAAGGTGTTCAAAGCTGTTGCCAACGAAAGATGTAAGTTGCGTTCCTTGCCGCGAGGAATTTCATGGGCTTGGCCTGACTAAGCAAGTGAGCATTAGTCAACAACATAAACAGTGATTCATTCAACATTTATCAAATTTATATGTACAGAAAGGTTTAAGTAATATGATGCAATAACATTGAATAAAGAATAACGTACATTTAACTTACTGAAAAATGTAATTTAGCCTTGAAGAATCGGACCTTTTGACAATTAAAGACACTAAAAATTATTTTATAGCATAAGCAGTAGGGAAAAGCTATAGGTATATATCAAGGATGTCAAACTCGTGGCCCATAACAAATATTTTTGCGGCCCGGCCAATATATCGGCAAATAATAATATATAATAATAAAATAACATATCGACAAAGAAAAAAATGAAATGTTTACTGCTAAGTAATTAACGATAATTTATTCAGTGTTGTTAGATTACTCACAGTGAGCTGACACACACACTACTTAAATTACAAATGCGTGTAAGTAGCTTGCGTTCAGCTACCTTCGGCTTTTGGGGCACACGTGCACTCAGAACTTGTACGCATCCCCCTATGGCCGAACTCATGGTCTCAGTTTTCCAATCATAGTTTTGTTCGATATATTGCATGCATGTGCATGCACTTTTATTAATTATTACTTAATTCATATTGTTACGGATTTCATAGTTATTCATTTATTTAGTTTTTTTTTTATTTAAAATTGTAATTAGATTTGCTTCATGTTGCCTTAGCAACGCAGACGATTTTTGAAAAGACAGCTGCGTTGGAAGGTTAAAAATAGAACAGCGCGTGCATTTAATACCTAATAAATAAATATCTCGTAATTGCTGTTGCCATCCACAAAAATCCAGATATTTATAGATGTTTCCAGTATATTCGAGAAATTAATTATAAAGCTTATAAAAGCCGAGAACAACAAACAACTCATCTCAGTAGTAGCTGTAGTTCTAGCGAGCGAACTGTTTGTTTACTTAATGCTGTGATTGATTTGTAGCGATTTCGCTGTGAGATAGAATTAGTTTCTCTGTTTTGAATTGATTTTTGCTAAACGTTTGACATTTTGTGATATTGTTAGAATATTTTTGAAGAAATATTTCAGCATTTTGATTTATCTCTTGTGGAAAGAATAAATTTTTGTTAACTTTTTAACGTTAACCGTGTTTATTCCAGCCCTTTGTATTCAGTATGTCTATATCAAAACCAAGTGGTAGTAAAATTAAACGATAAATCGCTGATGAACATAGAATATTCCAAGTAAAATGGGAATTAGAATATTTTAGCTGTGAAATAAAAGATAAAATAATCTGCTTGATATGTAATAATACTATTAATGTATCAAAGTTATATAATATTAAACGTCATTACGAACAACGCAAATCGAAATATAACAATTACGAAGGATTAATGTTTGGCCCAAGTATACCTATGAGTTTGACATCCCTGGTATATATAGATATAGGTAATATGTATAGATATAGATATAGTTATTTTGGTTTTTAGTAAACAAATTAAAATTTTTAAAGCACAGAACGAAATATATTTTAACCTGACTCAAAATGGTTATAAGCCAAATTTAAGCATGAATAAATAACTAAATAATTACACAAACAAAATACAGTGAGTATAGTATATTGAAAGAATAGCTATTACTCCAGAAAATTCTTTTCAATTGATTATCGTAGAGAAAGGTTAATAATGCGCGAAAAATACGTTTTTATAATACTTTTTAATTTAGAAAAATAAGGAGTATACTGACGTAGCTTTTCTCCAAAGCACATGAAAATTTAGCTTAAAATCCGATCTAATTTAAAATTTTAGTTAATGAATCTGCTACAACAATGATGCAGGGGAAAGTCGTTCCTAATTTTAATACGAAAGACAAAAAAATCGTTTCATTTTCGATCTGTAACTGTGAGGTAAATATGAAATAAAAATTAATTTACTTACCAGTCCTATAAATATACAGAACAGTTGTATTACGTCAGTATAGGCAACAGAGTAGAGTCCTCCAAAGAGAGTATAGAAGAGGGCAATGCAGGCTGAGGCAATAATGGAGGTGTTATTGTCCAAATCAATGATGACACTTACAGTTGCTCCTGCACAAAGAATATAAATTCCATCAAGAAAGTGAATGCAAGTTTAGGAATTTATTTGAAATGATTTTAAGAAACAGGGTTAAACTATTGTTGTTAGTAGGTAAATAAATCACCCCCCATAAAAAAGGCGACGCACTTGCCTGTTAGGCACACAAGATGGCCGAATACGTTGTACTTTTTAACGTCTTACCCTAGGAAGGTAAAATTCAGAGAACCCCTCTTATTTTGGAGTTTAATTTAAATAAATAAATGTAATTTAGAACTTAGAATGATTTTATATAAAACCTACGGTAAACATATAAGGTATTTCTCCCACTTCCATAGCGTGCCTTCGTGGTGTAACGGTAGCGCGTTGGGCCGGTATTCTAGAGGTCCGTGGTTCGATTCCCGGCGAAAGCGGTTGCATATTTTTCATCTTTTCCGCTTCCAATTAACCTAATGACTCTACAAGTGGCGCCCGAACTAAAAGGGTTGTGGATGATGATTCTCCGCACCCAGGATTTGGCGACTAGATCCCCTAAAACCTTAGTCGCCCTTTAAAAAGGGGAGTATATAAGGTATTTCTCCTACTTCCCTAGCGTGCCTTCGTGGTGTAACGGTAGCATGCTGGGCCGGTATTCCAGAGGTCCGTGGTTCGATTCCCGGCGAAGGCAGTTGCATATTTTTCATCTTTTCTGCTTCCAATTAACCTAATGACTCTACAAACATAAAGTCATTTTTTGGCTAAATCTTAATTTCTTATTGCAGCGTTTTTTTTCTATATATTTCATTTTAAAAATGCTGCACCACAGAACGCAGAATTCTTCTGCATACATTAAGCACCTGAAATACTTGTAAATGCCCATATTTTCCTCGAATTCAAACTCGAGTTTATCTCTGTAGCAGCTAGTCTCCGTTAACATCGCCCTTACTAGGATAGTATAGATAATTTAATTGTACGAACGCTCACTCGGTCAATGAATCTTCAAACACATATTACGAGAGAATGGGTGTAGGGCGGCGTTTCCTGGGTTCGAGTCTCGCTAAAAATTCTAGTTTTTCCAACTATAGGAAAGCGACGGGTATTTATAAAGGAAAACTGCAGAGGGTGTTTACACATTTTTCGGGCAACTTCGAGACCGTTATTTAAAATGTAAAGAGTATTTTTAAAATGTTCATTCTAATAGCCTTTTTTCTGGACTGCAACTTTGTAGAGACATTAGGTTATTTTGAAGCCGGAGAGATGAAAAATTAGCAACTCCTTCGCCGGAAATCGAACCACGGACCTCTGGAATACGTGCCCAGCGTGAAGACATCCACACCACGAAGGCACGCCAAAAAGGCGGGAGAAACACCTTATATACTCCCCCTTTTAAAGGGCGACTGGGATTTTTAGGGGACACAATCGCCAAATCCTGGGTAAGCAGATTCATCATCCATCACCCTTTTAGTTGGCGCCACTGTAGAGACATTAGGATTTTGTGGAAGCAAGAGAAATTGAAAAATAAGCAACGCCTTCGCAGGGAATCGAACTACGAACCTCTGGAACCATGCTCCCAACGTGCAGACCACCAAACCAAGAAGGCGGGAGAAAAACCTTATAACTTTGCATTGTGATGTCCGTGATAGAAGGACATTTTGTAAAATTTCCATTCCTCTTCGCCTATTTTCCAAAGTCTATAAATCGTGGTGGGTTTGCTATTAAAAAGAGCTCTTTTCAAGAGTCCAAAAGCGCAATAGGTCTTAGGTTGTAAACATCAGGGAACTTCACAGGAATACACTGAAAAGGTATACATGAAACACCTATATAAGTCTTCATTTTGACAAGGAATGCAGTAGTACTTTTCGGACTCTTTGCTTTCTTTTGCTGAATTTCAGTCTTTGAAGGTCACTGGGGTAAAGAATGGAATTTCTTCTGTAAATACTGGACGTAAAACTTATAAGATATTTATCCATCTTCTTGGCGTGCCTTCGTGGTGTGGTTTTCTGCACACTGGGCTGGTATTCCAGAGGTCCGCGGTTTGATTCCCGGCGAAGGCTTTGTTAATTTTTCATCTTTCCTGCTTCCAAAATACCTAATGTCTTTACAAACTTTCTCTTGACAGTACACTGAGTTGAGTTTAGTATATTTTTCCCCAATCTTTCTATTTTCAGTTTCCTATTATAAGAGAATCCTGCGAAAATCGTAAAGCCCTTACTGAAGCTTTCTTTGCAATGACGGATCCAGGTTTTACATTCTCTTTGTTTTCATTAATAAATGGATCTTCTTGTACTGAAGTCATTTAGGTTGACCTATGCTTCATAAAGGTTCATAATGTATCTCCTGTTAAATAATCAGATCTCTGAAAAGTATTTTTATTGCTAACAGACGTAATTTTCAATAAAAATGCTTATGCATAATACGTTTGACATAAATAGAGAATGATTATTAGAAAACAAATTGATAAGTTTCAGTTAAAAGCTATTTAAAAACACATTTCTTAAAAAGTGTCTCTTTAAGAAAAGGGACGTGTCTGTTTTAAATTACATGTTTTATCTTAATTTACAATCGTCTAGTACTTAACCTAAACATGTTATATATATTTGAAACCAGAAAAGTTAACTGTATGTTTTAAAATCAAAATTGCAAAATGTATTTTTTTTAAGCCAGAAAACTGTCTTACTCTCTTTAAAGAATTAGATTAAAATTATTGTATCGAACATCGGAAAAACCGTATTTCTTAACATATTTTTCACACGCGCCGAGCGTGCTGACCATTACACCTCGAAGGCAGGCTAAGAAGGCGGGAAAAATACCTTATACTTTTTCAACATCTTACCAAATTAAGTAATTATCAGAACAACCCACGGAACCTCGGTTTCACCAAAACACTTTTCATTTATTATCTATGAAAATAATATACATATATCCATGATTTATTCAGTAATTATTTTCAAACTCAGCCATTGTATATTAACTTTAGGCATCAAGCTGTGATGTAAGCTACTATGTGCAATGATTTAAGTTCTGTGCTTTAAGGTGTGATGTCGGCTTCTAGGCGATACTTTAGCCGTCAAGCCTACCAAACATCCACTTTGAAAAATTGAAAATATTCTTTATTAACTAAGATCTCAAGTAGTTATTCGAACGACGTTAAACTTCCGGGACGCGCAACCATGTACATCGAATTTTCTTAAATATTCTTTATTTCTTCATTGAAATGCCCCTTACTTGTGTTTTAAATGCAAAAAACACTGGGATATTATATTATCCCGAATATTCCATGAAAATGAATGCGGGGAAATATGACTTGATCTCACACTTCAGAGCTGAAATTAATAACGTCGATGAATAGCTTTAAATAACTTCAGCAGCCTACATATGAAAGTGGCCGAATGCAGATTAAAATGTGATTGATTAAGCAGCGTCATTGACTCCAGTGATAATCTCGATACAAAAGGGCATTGATGACAACAAGAATGACGACTTTTATGAAGCAAAATAAAGAAATTTTTTCTTTGATACCTACTAGAGATCGCTTCGTAGTTAGTGATATTTCGAACGACATCCGCGAGCACTTCATATATTGAATTCCAATAAAATGTTTACATTAAGGAACACTTTTTGGCATGCAACCAAGCAGATTGTTATTACAGTCACAGAAGAGCAACCTTGGAATCGCCTGGTTAATATCTAAAGCCCAACAGCTTTCAATGTCAAGTGCCCTTATAGGGAGCAATATGCTTTATTTCAAAGCGCATCATCGAAGCACAAAATCATTAATTAGAATTCTGAATTTTGTTCATCGTATCCCATACGTATAAAATTTTCGCTTTACAGTATTATATTCAGAAAAGTTTAAAGTTAGAAATCCTGGATAGCGCGAAAGAGTTCTATATTTTGTAAACAGATGACATGACTTTTGCTAATGTCACTCCATACAGCCAGGAAGATATTTGTATTAGAACGGAAATAATTCTACAGCCCAATAATAGCACAGTTAGATTTCTTCAGAATTTCAAATGTATTACTTTAAAAATGTTCCAAATTGTGAAAACGTGGAAAAAAATGTAACTTCGCCATGAAAATATTTTCCACATAAAAAAGCTATCTAATAATAAATAATTTAATAAAACTGACTTAGAAACGCATGTAACAGAGGGAAAACGGAACAATGGTCAAAATTCATCAGTGGTTAAGTGAATAAGATTGCTGAATGCTTCTAGGGTTAACTGGTTTAAGCATAAGTGAACTTCTCTTGGCCAACTGGTTTTAAGTATAAGGCATTTTGTCCACTTTTAACGGGAATACGAGCTAATACATCTTAGACATTCGCGTAAGTTTCTTGATTAAGCTTATAAACTCTTGCATACTTTATCAGTTAACCAACTATCTAAACCAGAGGCTTCTAACGAGGTCGGTATTGACTCCCTGGGGGGGTCGATGGAATTTTAAAAGGGGTCATTGATGATCACAGATACTTGGGGATCGACAGCCGAATATGCACTGAAAATTGATCGACATAACGAGGTCCAATTGATTACAAAAGATGCGCTTAATAATATTCATGATTAACTATTTATTGAGCTTTATGATACAGATAAATCAGGTCTTATTCATAGCACACGAGCACGTTAAGTTTTAGAATTTAAAAGTCATCCGAGAGAAATATCGTCCAATTAAAACTGTTACCAGACCAACGTTATTGATCTTCCATTATTCTCATCTACTGGAAGTTGATTTTAGTTAAGTCAATAATTTACTACGAAAAACAAGAACATTTCTGAATGAAGCGATTAAAGAATTAAGTTAACTAATTTTATGCTAAATATTCAAAAATTGCACCAGTACATCAAACGCAATAATCACGTTAATTAAAATCTAACTTTAGTGAAATTAGAATTGTATCCGAGAACTTGTTTACATTTAGAAAATAAAAAATAATGATAATGAGAAAAGTACTACAATAGTAGTCTAATAAACTTATTTATGTTCTTATTCTAATTTTTATCCTTACGTTTTTACGCGCAATTATTTTTAA